CTCCCAGTATCGCCACTCACACCACTGGTCCTGAAGGGCTCATCCCCCCCTGGATTCCCTGTGTTTCCAGTTCCTATCTGTATCAGTGTACATCCTCTTGTCTAGCCAGACTTGCAAGGTAGAATTCGGATCATGATAGTGGGGTGGGTGGGGGAGGGAAGCATTTAGGAACTAGAGGAAAGTTGTATTTTTCATCGTTGCTACATCACACCCTGACTGGCTCATCTCCTCCCCGAGACCCCTCTGCAAGGCATCTCCAGTGGCCTACAAATGGACTTTGGGTCTCCACTCCACATTGCCCTCCTCATTCACTATGGTAAGTGATGATGATGCCTTATACCTGATCCCTTCAACACCTCGTGATCGCACAGGCTGGTGTGCTTCTTCCATGTGGGCTTTGTTGCTTCTGAACTAGATGGCCGCTTCTTTAGCTTCTTTACCTTCAAGCCTTTAAGACGGCAGACGTTATAGCTTTTGATAGCCAGGCACCGTCAGCTTTCTTCGCCACATTTGCTTATGCACCCAGTTGTCCTCGCGATGGTATCATGGAGGTGAGCACACAATGATATGATTTTCTGAGAATCTTATCATGCCCTGCAGCCTCCAGGCAGGATTTAATGGGTCAAGGGAAACACATGGTGATTAACAAATACAATGAGATCTGTTTGGCACCAAACATTGGAAGATTGGCCAAATGTTAACTTTCCATCCCTGGCCAGGAGGATGTAATCATGACCCTTTGGTTAAGACCTTCATTTAACTTTTTTAACTAATCATTTTATTGGGGCTTTTACATCTCTTTTAACAATCCATACGTCAGTTGTATCAAGCACATTTGTAGATATGTTACCATCATTTTCAAAACATTTTCTTTCTATTTGAGCCCTTGGTATCAGCTCCCCCACCCTTAAAGCCTTGATTAATTATATATTATTCGTGTTATTTTTGTATCTTACACCATCTGCTGTCTCCCTTCACCCACATTTCTGTTATTCATCCCCCTTGGTGGGTGGATGTTATATATCCATCATTGTGATCGGTTCAGACCCTTTAGGGACATGGATTGACTGGAAGATTGACTGGATGGATTGTTGGAAGAAATCTCAGCCCTGGTAGTCAACTTCTGCCAACACTGCATGGGTGACCCTGCAAACTTGGGGTGATGTATCTTTGGAGGAAGGTGGGGGTACAGGTCTGACTCTAGCATGCAGAACAAGACTCTGATACTTACAAGACTCATTCATTGAAAAATTGGAAAACCAGAAACTCAACCTCTGGAGAATTAAAGTTGGTTTTCTTAAGGCTGGACTTGTGCCCATCTGGTGTAGCTGGACATGCTATATACACTTCTTTGAACAGGTCTCTAGGATGAGAATGGATGGACAAGTGGAGCAAAAGGTTTTCAACATCTGCTCTGCGAATTATGAAATAAATATGATGCCATGCCATCAAGGAATGCTTCCCAGGAAAATGGAACCATTGTACAGGGAAACCACTTTTAAAAAAGACTAAAAGTTTCCCTATACTTGTAAAACAATTGAGTATAACATCAAAAAGAGATATGCCCCATTACACTGTCATTTAAAAAAGACTTTTAAAGCATTTTCCTAAAGGCTGTAAATCAGTAAATAGAATAAATCTGTTTTGCTGTCTAGCTTTACTCTATCTTCAATTCATTTTGGTTTTACTTTTTAAGCTACCATTAAAAATATTATTTTCTTCATTTCGCCTGCTTCACTCCTCTCACTCTTGTTATTTTTTATATTTGGTGATTTACTAACCAAATTTCTTAATTCAGTCATTTGCAAGCTTCCCAATGAATCTGTAAAATTATCCAAGTCCATCTTTTCTTGCGTATTACCAAATAATTGGTGTATGGGATTGGCACAGAGGAAGGAGTCTGGTCTACCTTTGGCACACATCTGTTGAGAAAGGATTTAAGGAAGGGGAATCAGGTGGTGGAGTATGGGGGTGTGAGAGGGCATGGAGGAAATGGCAGGAGGTTTGTAAGGCAGTTAGGAGCCCTGGTTGTGCTATGGGTGAAAGCACTGGGCTGTTAGCTACAAGGTCAGTGGTTCAAATTCACCAGCCCACTCCATGGTATGAAGATGAAGCTAGCTGCTCCTGTCAAGATTTACAGTCTCAGAAACCTTTTTGGGGGGTTGATGAGTGAGATTTTACTGTAAAGCAGTGAGTTTTGATGGCAGTAAGGATGCACAGAGCTGCCACTGAAGGACAGGCTGGAGACGCAGCAGGCACTGGATCACCAGGGACCAGCTCACCCCTGCATCTGTGTCCAGCAGGATTGGGATTGGAGGAAGGAAGAATGGACAGCTGGATCAGACTGTGACAGCAATGTGGGACATGGGTAAGTCCTCAACCCATACCTCCGTTTCTCCATTTCTAGATTAGGATAATAGGTTTTGCATTATGAAAAGACAATGTCAGTAAAAATGGCACATGCGTATTATGAGTTAACCTGCCTTACTTTTTTTCTAGATTGGTTTTACCCTGAGGGAAAAAAAATCCCTATACTTGGCAGTTTCCTAATTTATGCAGCATCCTACTTCATTAAACATATTTTTCTTTTTGCTAATGGGAACGGCTATTGCTATTTGTTGTCTGCTTCAGCATACACTTAAAACATTGGGAGAAGTCGGGAGGTTGATGAGCATTGATCATACAAAGCAAATCACACTTTTAAATCTCCTTTGTGCACTAGTTCTTTCCCTAGCCATTAGCAAGAGAAAAACATTACCATATTTTACTAAAACTTTTCTCTCCAAAATAGTATCAGATGTCAGTAAGTGCACAGAAACCTGCTTTATAAATAGCTAGACACGCAGAGTACACTGGACATCTTAGAATGCATGCTATTCACCTGACTGAGCTCAGCGTTATTAGGAAAGCCCTACAGAACACTGGCACTTTTTTTGAAGCTGAGGCCTGAATCCTGCCTCGTCAGTGATGATGCCACTCAAGAAATCTTATCACCTCCCTGCGTCTCGGAGCCTCCTCTGTAGAATGGAGTGTGGTAAGAGCTGCTTCACTGGGTTGTTACGTGAGGTAATTCTATGGTAGAATCTGGGTGAGGCACTAGTGTTACAAACATAACACTGCTGCCAACCAGTTAATTTGGACTCACCATAACCTGTGGGACAGAGAAGTGCCTCACAGGGTTCCGAAGGCTGCAATCTTTCTAGAAACACACACTACATCTCTCTCCCTGGTGGGTTCAAATGACCAACCTAGTAGCCAAGTGCTTCACCACTCTCCCACCAGAGCTCCTTCAAGCCCTAGTGTAGTGGCCGAAAAATAATGAGGACACAGTTGTTGTAAGGTCCAGGAGGGGAACCACCACACATGCTGAAGTTACTAGCATCATTATTAGTGTGTGTGTGTTAAATAATAGAAACTGTTATTATACAACAATATCCGATTGTAAAACTATTGTTTCTCAACCTATGCTTCCCCTAGATCTATAAACTAATACAAATGGTATTACTGAATTAGGTGAAGGTTTACGAAGTAGATCATAGTTCTATAGCAACGACTCATACACATTCTGACTCAACTCACCTACTGCAATGTCTCCCATCACTCACCCCACTTCCCTTATGTGCGCCCTGTTTCCATGTCTCCTCAGGCCCTTACCCTCTGAACACTGTCTGCGGATAAATGCGGTGCTTTTTATTTTAAATGGTCGATTATGCTAAGTTGGACGCAAGTTCATTTCCAGGCAGGAAGGGTAAGTGTCATAGAGTCTCGGGGGTCCCGCCAGGCTCTAACAGCTTGGTCTCAATTCTGATTTAGCGTTCTGTACCACATTCTTCCCTCACGGTATCCAGGGCCTTTTAATATGACCCTTTTCAGAGCATGAGTTGTGGTAACCTAGCACCATCTCGTTCTTCCAGTCTCAGGGCTGTAGCTCATGTTTGCCTGGTCCATTAGGTCACTGACCTCATTGTTTCCATTAGTCTTTTGATTTTCCACCTTCTTCTTTTCACTGGATGGGGCAAGACCAACGGCAGCACCTCAGATGGCTGCTCACGAACATGTAAGACCTGTTGCTGCTTCCCAAAGTCAGGGATGGAGAACATTGTCTCTGTCAACTGTTATGCTAACTGACCTTGGTATTCCCCAAGCTTACGGCCCTGATCTCCCAGGCTGAGAAACTCATTCCCTCAAGGTGTCTGGTTATGCCTACGAAGGTGGTGAAGAATACTGAAAGTACTCAGAGGCTGCAGCCCGGGGGTCAAAGACAATTGTGAGGGGGTGCAGGACTGGGCAGTGGTTCGTCCTGTCGTACCCCGGGATGCTATGAGTCAGGACCAGCTCAACAGCACCTAACACCAAGAGGAAGTTTTCATAACTTTGCCAACTGTAGGCTCCATCGCATTCATGGATATATTTGTAGCCAAGGTCATCACACATATACAAATATCCTGTCAAATCTAGAGGTATGTTCCTGGGTGTATTCCCTCTCTCTCCCACACCTGTTCAGCCTGAGTGTCTATCCCAGTAATATAAACTAGTGGACCACCAGTATTGCAGAATTGGGTGTATTTGCTTCTGCTGCCCGAACTCTTGCCTATCTCCCAATGTCTTTTCTGCCTCTTTTTGGGGGGGGGGGCAACTTCCCTCTTACTGTATATTGCCTTCCCTGCTACCCTAGGTGACAGGTGTTTACCTTCTAGCCCATGAACTTCCCTCCCTCCTGAAGACAAAGCTTGACACTTGAAAAATAGGAAGAGGGTTAAAAATAAGATTGAGTTTAGTCCACAAAAGTTGAGCCTGAAGAAGTATTAGAATCTGTAGCCTCCCTTGTATGTCATGGCTTCAACCATGTAGGTGCAGATAACAATGGGCCTGCTAGCCTAACTAAGTTCTTCGGCTTGGACAGCAGGGAACACAGGTGCTGAGGAAATGACCTTTTCCTGGCTGTGGCGATGACCTGGACAGTGACCAGAGGCAAAGCAAGAGTCCAAACAGCTACAGTCTGAAATTCAAACTCATTCTTTATTTTTTTACCATTTGATTTGAGATAGGTAGCAGCACTTGCCTGGGGAGTTTCTTGGGAGGGGAGGAGGAGCTTGGATGGAAATCTGACTTTTGAGCATCAGTTACAGCTAATGTCTATTTTCAACACATTTCACCTTAGATTTTTTTCAATGGCAAGTCAAAGAGTAGAAGGAAGATGGGCTCAGAGTCTTTGTAAGGGTCCAAACCAGTGGCCAGAATGTGTTCTTGCATTTCATACTGCCTGTGCCTTGGCATTCTTGAAACCTGACTTCAGGAACCAATCTTTCTTGGTAGCTCATGGCTGGTTCCCATCTTTTTAATGCCTCTTGCCGTTGGCTGGTATGATACCGTATTGTCCTGACAGTTAACGATCTGGGTCTGACACCATGTATATTCAGACTGCAATAGGAAAACAGATTCTTCGAGATCACCAGAGTCAAGTAATCTGGTCCTCTCTACACCCAACTCCTCCTAGATGAAGTAAAAGCACCTCCTCAACTTGACCACATTTTCCGGGGCTGGCCGGGCACACAGCCAGAGCCCTGGTGGGTGTTGTGCTCACTGTCTGCGTGGCTGAGTCATGTGTGTGCCAAGGCATGACCTACACTGGCAAAATTTGCAGAGATATTTCTAACAGTTCAAGGGATTGGACTCCTCAGAGGAAATGATACATTAAAATAGCCACACACACAAATATATTTAATGACTTTTTAAAACCACAACTGAAAAAATTCTCTGCCTTTGGGTATAATGCAATCTGATAAGAAACCCTACTTATTAGTACCATTATGTTTTTCTTTGGTTCCATGTATTAGATTGATAAAATGGCAAAAAAGGGAAAGATTGTAAAAAGAAAATATTTTGTACAAAAATACAAAGTTTTAAAAGCTCTTTAAGTATATTTCATATTACTAAGAGTTGGACTATATATCTGTATGTCTGTATATTTTTCCTACGTTGGGGATTTTCAGAAATGGAAGGTACTGTTTACCCAGTGATATGTTTTAGTTCTTTAGTCCTTTCCAGACTGGAGCATTCCATACGATGGAAGGTAGAACTTGCAGAATTGGAATGGTTACTGGCTGACAAAAATGTATTTGAGTCAGTCCATCTGTACACTGATAATCAACGTATCACGCTGGGAGAACTATTTCACTCCCATGTCCTTGGGTAATAGTACATGGTAATACACACTGCTGTCAATATTTTCAGTACTTGGTTTTCAGTGCTTTTCTTCAATTTGACGAGAAAGGAGTATCCTCTGGTTTTGGAAGCCATCTGAAACTTTGCTCCTGTTATTACTTCATAGCCCATTATAATGCAGATGATAGTGCTAAAACAGAGAGGGGGGGGGTAGATGGGCATTAATTTCTTAATAGAAATAATTTGCAATTCAAAAGAAGAATATGTGCTTGTATAGGAAGATCCTACAATAATACATCATTCAACAATGCTTAGTTAATTTTCAAAATGTTTGGGAAATTCTTATTTCTATTAAGCAAAAGCAGGAGAATGAGGAGACTTACTTTGCCTCATATACTTTGGACATGCTATCAGGAAAGGCTGTTGATTTTAGGTGCTGACAAGTGGTTCCAACTCATAGCAGCCTTATATTCAACAGAACGAAACACTGCCTGGCCCCGCGACAGCCTCACAATCGTTAGGTGTGAATCCAGAGCTGCACCCACTGGGTCAGGCCATCTCGTTGAGGGTCTTTCTCTTTTTTCATTGCCCCTCTACCAATCATGATGTCCTTGTATCAAGGACTGGTCTCTCCTGATAGCATGTCCAAAGTATGTGAGATGAAGTCTTACCACACTTGTTTCTAAGGAGCATTCTAGCTGTACTTCTTCTGTTTATCTTTTTTGGGAGAGACTTAAACAACAACAATAACAACAACAAACCTTCACAACTATACCGTCAATCTTGGTTCCCAGTGACCACATAGGACATAGTGGCGCTGCTCCTGTGACATTCAAGGCTGTACATCTTTACGGGGAGAGAAAGCCTCAGCTCTCTCCAGCAGGGTGGCTGAAGGTTTCAAACAGCAGCCCGATGCATGCTGTGCTCTAGCCCCACGGCTCCTCAGTAGTGTTTAGTGCCTGGAGATGGACCTCATGCTTGGTAAGAGTCTGCAGAAAGGAGGCCGGGCCTCGATATGATGGACCGACAAAGTGGCTGCCAAAGTGGTTCCAACATAGCAGCCCTCGTGAGGGTGGCACGGGACCGGGCAGTGTTTCAGTACTGACGTGATGGCACCTAACAACATGGTTCACTTTGAAGGGAAATATTCTGAGGAAGCCTAGTCCCTAATCAAATCCCAAACGGTCAAATTACAAAGATGGGTTAACTGCCAACATCTTCTGTAATTTCTTATTTAGATAAGTGTTCCTCGCTCCCCAACTCTCACCTGACCAGGAGGCGAGTGCCTAGTGCATCTTGAGACCTTTAGCATTTGGCCCAGGGGCTGATATGTGAAAGGTGCCCCAAAGGTGCCTATTGATAACTCGTCATAGATAGTGAATTTATGTCCCAGTTACTTCCAATAAAATCAGAGCAAAACATACTTGAGGTTTTTGCTTCCCATAGCTTTTAAAAACAACTGCTTTGCGATATAATCCACACATTTAAAGCATACTATTCAATGGTTTCTAGTATATTCAGGGTTGTGTAACTCAGAACTAAACTATCTAATTAAATTTTAGAACATTTTAGCACCTCCCTCCAACAATCCCCCCCAAACAAAACAAAAACTAACCTCAAAACCTGCCAGCCATTAGCACTCATTCATCATTCTGCCCTATACAGACTGCAAACTTTAAAAGTCTAGTTCTGATGAAGCAAACTCAGATGAGTCATGTAAGTTTCTGATAGGAATCTTTTGAAGCCAAGAAAATCTCCTGCAAGCCTCTTAGGAGTATGAGCTTAGAAGGGGCACAGACGACATCCATGCATTATCTAGCACAGCACCTGCCCATACCAGATGCTCAATAAACGCAGGTGGAATTGCATGCTTGGCCACCTGCATCATCTGCGTGTGGAACTCTATGACAAATGCATGATATTGGTACTACATTTTAAAGAACAATGAACTGACAATAGGATGTGGTATTGACCAGGGCCAATTAGCCTAACATTTGAGCACTTCCTCTACTGTAGGCATAGTTGTGCTTCAATTAAATGAACTCTGACGTCCTCTGTGAAAACGATATTATTATCATTCCCATGAGCCTAGTAAGTGGAAGGACCAGGACCGGAACCCAGAGAGTTAGTTGCAGAGCTTGAAAGCCGGACTCTGATCAGTTACCGCCTCACTTCCTCGACAGGGACATAGCTCTCTGGGTTAGATCCTACTGCTCACCTGTCTCTCTGACTTTTTCGCAAATGAAGTTATTGATGTCTTCACACTGGAAGTCGTTCCACTGCCCAGCGTAAATCAGCCCAGCGCAGTCCTCTCCTGGCCCGTGGCCATGGCCCCAGTTATCTGGTTGTCCAGCTTTCCAATTTCTTTGAACAAAAGAGGAACGGAGTGTTATTTGCAGAGCACAACAGACGTTTTCCTTACTCAGGAGCAGAAAGCAATGACTAATAATAGTAGAAAGCAAATGTTCTGAGAATGAGGAGGGCATCGAACGTACAAATGTGCTTGGCACACAATGGATGTCTGTATGGATTGTGAGTTGTACGAGCCTTGCTGCTGTGGGCCTTGGGACACAGCCTGCAGCTTGAGAGGAGCTTGGGAAGCCCAACCAGTAAGTCTTAGAGGTGGTCCCCACTCCTGGGCACACGCGCCGCCTGCCTGCTTGTCAGACAGACACCACCCAATCCACTGCAAGCTTGGCAAGGGGCAGGCTGTCCCCCTCGAGCCCCTCCCCCGAGTTGCGATGGCAACCTAGGAACTGGCAGGGTGGGGGTGGGGGTAAGCGGTGGGTCTACCTTCTCAAATTTCAAACTCTTTGTCCTTGGCAACCTTCCAATACCAGCCCTGCATTCCACAGCTGGTTCTATCTGGGCACGCAGGGCAGGAGGCAGAGAAACAGGGAGGGAGGCGTGCACGCTGAGGGGGCGCAAGGATAGAGTCCTAACTTCCTCCTATGTGCCTAAGGGAGGAAGGTGGTGGCTCTGACCCCTGTGCTAGGATGGACGAAGAGGTGTGATGGGCAGGCTCCTGGAGAAAAGTTCTGGTGCATGTTCGGAAGGTTTGGGAGCCGAAGCCTGCGCCGTTCCTCTCCTCCTCTCTGAAGAGGTGCAGAAGCGGGTGTGAAGGCGTCTGAGCCATTTCTGGCCCTGCAGCCTGCTCCTCTGGGGACCCTTGGGTGATGCGGCGGTGCCTACCGGCGCGGGTCCGTGTAGCTTGATGAAGCCCTTCGAGGGGGTCTTGTTTCTATCCAGAGGCCGAGCGGTCAGCCACCGCCCAGCCGCGCAGTTGAAATGGGTGCTTTGAGCCAGCAGCTTCTTGAAGGCACTGATGGCGTCAATGTGCGCGCTCATGGTGGCTGGGCGATTGCTCTGGGCAGCGAAAGTCCCGGCTGTCTGCTGCTGAGTTGGCCCCGAAGCATACGGGCCACGTGGCGAGAACTCGCCGCCCGGGTAGCAGCCTGCATCGGTGGTTTCGTGGCTGACGGTCGCGAGCAGAAGAACGAAGCTGTTCTTGCCTCTTGCTGGTGCACTTGAACAGCAGCCAGTCGAAGGTCTGTTCTTCAAGCGCTCTTGATCCCGGCCGCACGCCACCTGCTCTAGCAGGTCAAGGAGGGGGAAGGGGGATGGCCAGGGCCTTGGGGAACTGTGCCCGAGTCGCCTGGCTACCCGGGCAGCTGCGGGACCTGCTCTGCCTCGTGTCGCTCTCTGCTGAGCACGCCCTAGAGGTAGGCAAAGCCGATGTGCGGGCCCAGGCCCCCTTGGGTGCCGCAACACCGGTGCTGAGACCTCAGTGAAGCAGAGGAAGCTGCGAACATCCTCGCGGGGTGTAGGAGCTCCCGGTGGCTCTGGCGGCCATGCGGCGTGGACTTCCACAGGTAGCTGCAGCGCTCGAAGTTGCCGGAATCCGTGTACTCGGCGCCCTGGTAGCAGAAATAGGTGGTGTCTGGTAGCAAGGGGTCCTGGAGGCGCTTGCGCATCTGTGCATCTCGCGGGGATCCAAGACGCGCACCTCGAGCTCCGCAGGAATATCATAGATCAGCTGCGGGGGCCCTGGCTCGCCCAGGTACACGCCCTACCCCATCCCCCCGAGACGCAGCGCCACACGGTGTGCCGCTAGTGTTTCAGGGCGCCCAGATGGCTCCCATCGCGGCGTCCAGGCTGGTGGGAGCGGATTTCATAGGCATCGCCCTGCACCTCTCCATCGGCCACATTGGCTGGTTACTCTACGAGGTGGAGCCATGGCAATGGCTCTCCAGGCGGCGTGGCAGCTCAGCAGCCCGCTGCGGCGGCGGCAGGATCTCCAGGCGATCCGACTGCGACTGCGCAGTCGGGCGGTGCAGTCTTGCTCTTGGCGCGGCACAGCTCAGATGGGCTCCCCGCTCCAGCAGGAAGCCGGTGAATGGTGGTGGCCCCTGCAGCAGGAAATCATCAGGCGCGCCTGGCCATGTGTTGTCCACCAGGTAGCGCACCGCCTCCGGGGGCCACCGAAGCAGGTGGTATGCGGTGTGATGCGGTTCACCGAGTGCGCACCACGCCCAGGTGTCCCCACACCAAACGTGCGCCTTCCGTGGCAGACTTGAGCTGTGGCCTCCATGCTGGCGCTGCACCAGCCCACCAGGTAACTAGCAGGCAGCGAACAGCAGCGTCCCAGCGCAGGTCCCGCTTTTGAACAATTTTTCCCGCGTCCTGTGGCGTTTTTAAGTCCCGATTTTTGGAAAGAATGCACAAGCTAGGGTATACGGTTTTCGGCTGCCATGTGGCTATTTCCCCAGGATATGAATTTTATCAGTGGTGTCCTGCTTTTGTCCCGCTTTACCAATGTTAAAATCTGGTCACCTTACAAGTTCCTCCTGGCTCTGGCCGCTCCACAGCTTTTGAAGTGGCTACAGCTTGCGGTCGCCATTGTGGGGAGCTTTATACACGGGCGATAGTGCGGGTTAGACTATGTCTGGGGCGCTGGGGCACACCAGAGCCCCAAGGGGCCAACCACAACTCTTGTCTCCTCCACCTTCATCTTAGGGTTTTGAAAATAAGAACTGATTTTTCCTTTTTTCTTTACAGAATTGCTTTGGCCAATTGGGCCCTTCACAATTCCCTATGAATTTGAGGATTGGTTTTTCCATTTCTGGAGAAAAAAACTGTTGGCTAACTTATTAAAAAATTAGGTGGGGGTTTACATATGACATCATTTCTGCATCCAACAATTTATCAATTCTCCCAATAGCTTGCCCTGTCCCCTTTCCTCTCATCTCCCTCTTGAAGGATATTATCTTTCCCTTTACCAAGTTACCACCTGTCAGCTTGTTCTAAACACACACACACACACACACACACACACACACTTCCCCTTTACTCAACTTGTTCTACACACACACACACACACACACACACACACACACACTTCCCCTTTACCAAGTTACTACCTGTCAACTTGTTCTACACCCCCCGCCCCCACACACTTCCCCTTTACCAAGTTACCACCTGTCAACTTGTTCTACACACATACACACACACACACTTCCCCTTTACCAAGTTACCACCTGTCAATTTGTACACACACACACACACACAAATGCTACAAATCGTGTTGTTAGGTTCTGTCAAGTAGGCCCTGATGCACAGTGACTTTAATGCACAACCAAACAAAACACTGCGTGGTTCATCCTCACAATTGTTTGGTTTGAGTCCAATTTTGGAGCACCGTGCCAATCCACCTCATCAAGGGTCTTCCTCGTTATTAATCTTCTACTTTATTGACCATGGTGTCTTTTTCTAGGTACGAGTCTCTCCTGGTAATATATCCAAAGTGTGTTAGATTAAGTCTCCCAGTTCTCGATGCCAAGAAGCATTCTGGCTGTACTTTCTCTAAGATAGTACAATCTTCTTTGCCAGCACCAGAATTCAAATGCATTAAGTGGCCTCTTTTCTTTCTTATTCATTATCCAGCTTTCACAAGCATGCCATGGCTTGGATTGGGCTCCCGTTAGTCCTTATAGCAACATCTTTGCTCTTCAACACTTTACAGAGGCCTTGTGCAGCAGATTTGCCCAATGCAACATTTCATTTGATTTTTAAAGTGATTTTTTCCTCAAAAGTCCAATTGGCATACAATTCACATATCATACAATCCACTAATCGCATCAAGAATTGTACACTCATCACCATAATCAGTTTTAGAACATTTTTTCTTCAATCTTGTCTTCATTGTTATTAGCTCCCCATTCCCCGCCCCCCAAGCCTCTTCTGCCTTACCCCCAAGGAACCATTAATCCGGTTACTGTCTCTACAGATTTACTTATCCTGGATTCATGCCATTTGATTTCTTGACTGCTGCTTCCATGAGTGTTGATTGTACATCCAAGTCAAATGAGATCTTCAACAACTTCAGTCCTTTGCCATTGACCAAGATGTTGGCTATGGGACCAGTCGGAGGACTTCTGTTTTCTTTACACTGAGTTATAATCCATACTGGAGCCCATAGTGTTTGATCTTCATCAGCAAATGCTTTGTGAAGTTCTCTTCACTTTACACAAGCAAGTTTGTGTCATCTGCATATCACAGGTTGCAAATGAGCCTTCCCTCAATCCTGATGCTAGATTCCTCTTCATACAGTCCAACTTCTTGGATTATTGCTCAGTATCCAGACTGACTAAGTATGGTGAAAGGATACAACCCTGATGCACACCTCTCCTATTCAACAGCAGTCTTTCTTTGTTGTATCCACAGAAGTGTTAAGGTAGTCACTATTTGTTATTGGAAAAAAGTTAGTTGTGATGAAGAAGCTGTTGGTCATAAAATGCTGTCACTCAAACACCAGCTTCATTTTTATTACCAGACCATATCTTAAAATTATTGATCCTTCTTCTTTGTTTCCATCTTTTGCATTCAAATTGCCAATAATTATCAATGCACCTTGATTGCATGTTTGATCAACTTCACACTAAAGAAGTTGTAGGATTCTTCCATTTATTTATCTATCATTGACTTCAGTGGATAGTGCATACATTTGATTAATAGCTGTATGAATTGGTTTTCCTTGAAGGTGTATAGATATTATCCTACCATAGAGAACATTGTACTTCAAGACAGATCTTGAAATGTTCTTACAAAATCATAAAAACCTTTATTAAACAAACAAAAATGTGAAGCTATTGTTTTGCAATATATCCTCCATTTAGATCGAGCCACGTCGGAAGGTCGTGTCCCATCTCTCTCACCTTTCCCTGAAGAATTCTGTTCTTCTCAATTTACACCATGTCAAATGGCAGCTCAAGGGACTCTGATAGTGCTCCTTTACAATTTTCTTTGATTTGGGGTCCAAAAAAGACATTTAAAGGGGCAACATCAGACTATGGGTAGATGGAGGA